ATCACAATCATTTTCATTCATTAGATGTCAAATTGGATGGCTTGGAGTGAGTCACAAAATCATAATTTTTTTTTTTTTTGAACTTTGTGTCTAGTCAATGATACTCTTATAACCGCCCATTTTAAAAATTAAGGGACAATAATGATTGTGATTTCAATATACAAAAGATAAAGAGTTTTGTTAGGCTACACCATGAGTAGTGTATACTGTGAAAATCCTGAATATTTTTAAACACTTAAATACCCTTGTCCTATAGTATAGTAACTTTTTGTTTAAGGGTATTTTAAGTAATTAGTCAAGAGTAAACCGGAAATTCTTAATAGAAAAAAAATCTTTTATTAACAATAATAGACAATGACATCACCGACATGGTGCGTGACATCACTCACAAGATATACTAATTTTTTTTTAACTACTAATAGAATGCCACTATTTTTTTATAAAAATATTCATTCTACCTTTCTAAATAACAAAAAATGCCCCTACTTGAAAAATTTTGTATTACAATTCAAATGTATTTAAGTGTCCAAAAAGGTTGAGGGCTTTAAGGGTATAAACCAGTAGCCTAACAAAACCATTAAATAGTTTCTTTGTGACAATCCCTTTATTTAAATGTTATTAAAATATTATATAGTAAATATTATGGATGATGTTTCCATAGAACCTGGGCTTTATGAATATAAAATAAAGCATCACCTCATATCCTTATCAAGAATGCACTTTCGGCATCGGAAATCCTCATGACGGTTCAAACCTTAACCTCCAGCACTAACAATAAAAGTTGAAACTAAAAAACTGGTTCAGATCTTATGGATATGTAAACACTTATTTTTAGAGCGAAATGGATGGTCCTAAATGATTTGTTAGAATTTGTACTATTTTTAGAATTTAAAATCCTAATTTTTTTGCACAATCATAATGTTCAGGTTGAAATGATCGATTTAAAAGTTTTTCAACACTTGACTAGCAATTTTTGATGAGTTACGAGGTGTGCCTTACTTAATTTGATAATGCTGTAGCGCCATCGAACCATTTTCCAAATATTATTTATATAATAATACTATTTGAGTCGGATCTACATGGACCCGGACTTGGACCCAAATAGTGTTCAGGTCCAATATTTGGACCCGGACCCAACCCACAGGGTCCAATTATTGGACCCATACCTAGACCCGGGTCAGGTTTGGGTCCATTTACACCCCTAGATATCTTGTAGTGAAAAATATCTTTGGTCTTTAAGATTAGTAGAAAGAATCTCTCTCTCTCTCTCAATTTGAACGTTGCGATTATATCTAACAGTTTTAAATGGTCTTTAAGTAGAAAGAATTTCTCTCTCTCTTAATTTCAACATTGCAATCACCTCTAACATTAGTAAAGAAAATTTTGCAGGCATTGAACCCTATGTCACCTTGTATCATTGGGACCTCCCTCAAGCCCTCGAAGACAAATACATTGGATGGCTCAACTCAACAATCATGTAATATATTCCATTTTTTTATCTTTCAATTTCAACAACAAATGATAACAATAATATGTGAAAAGATTTCAGTGTTTCTATGCTACAACTGCATTTGGCTTTCAAAAAGTATGATACCAGCTCCTGAAGTATCCTTTTCCTACAGGTGATGGTTGAGAAGTCCCTCAGCTCAAAGTTATTCAGAATTTTTACGGACATTAAGCTGAGGAACGGCACATCTCGACCATCCGTTGTTGGTATCAGGTGGTTGAGGAGTCGAAGCATACTGTTTGATGCCAAACTTTCAGCATAATAGACTTTTCCATAAAAATATATTCATTGTTATTGCTGCTTGTTGAAATAACCTGCCATTCAAAGTGCTTGTGGAACATGTTTAGTGTGTGATTGTTGTTATTTTCTTCTCAAACAGAGCGGATTTCGCAAATTATGCCGAAACATGCTTTCAATTTTTCGGCGATAGGGTGAAGCACTGGATCACTTTCAATGAACCACACACCTTTGCCATTCAGGGCTATGATGTAGGTCTACAAGCTCCAGGAAGATGCTCTGTTCTCCTTCACCTCTTTTGTAGATCCGGAAATTCGGCCACAGAACCCTACATTGTTGGGCATAATGTTCTTCTCTCACATGCTGCAGTTGTTGACATATATAGAACAAAATACAAGGTAAATCTTTTCCCTTTTTGGTCAAATTATACAATAAGATCGTTTGCCTTTGCTAAGAATAAAACAAGAGCCATCTGATGTGATATCGGGCGGTTGGGAGTTTGCCATTGAGCAAGCCCTAGTCACCTAATGTGAAATCCCCATTGATAAAGCAAACTTTGGGGATTCCCCATTGATAAAGCAAACTTTGGCGATTCCCCATTGATAAAGCAAACTTTGGGGAAATGTTCCTCGAGCCTTGTATATAGAAATGACACATTCATTCCTCCAATTTGTCAAAACACTTGAGACAGTTTCAATCTAAAATTCTAAGAAGTACTATATGATTATTTTCAAAAAAAAAAAAAGAAAAATTGAAATTTGATTATTCTAAATCTTAAATCATCTAAAAATTGGATGGTCTCTATTCAATTTCGAAATATCATTTCTTTCAAGTATAGAGAGTGCAATTAGGTATATTTATTTATTAAGATTAATCTATGGATTGAAGGGGCTACATCCCCATAATTTGGGGTTTTAAAATTAATTATACCTGAGGGAGTAAATGGACATTATACTCCCATGGAATGAAGTATAATATCATTTGGCTTACGTTAGATGGGTTGTGGTGTTTGTGAACGCTTTGTACTTTGGTTTACATTAGATGGGTTGTGGTGTTTGTGAACTTTGTAAGAAGGGGACTGCATGCACTCGGGTTTCTTATTTACTTGTTTCTCTTTTAAGGGCATTTTAATGATTGTTGAAAAATGGTGCTGAAATAATTTTTTTGTCAAAATTTAGAAGATTCAGTTTCTGTAAGTTTAGGTTTTTTTTAAAACAAAGTAAATCCTCACCTCAAATCCTCTTTTGGAAGCACTTTGGCCCTCGAAAATCTCTATTATGGCTCTAAAATCAATTTCCAACATCGAATATGAAAAACTTAAAATGGACGGTCTAGATAATGTGTTACAATATACACTACTTTTAGGTCGTGAATCTTTTTTTTTCACAACCATAATGATCAAGGTCGAGATGATGGATTTGAGGTTTTTTCGACGCCAGAACTGCAATTTTTGGTGAGTTTTGATTTGGATTTGGATATGAAACTCCTCAAATCTATCATCTCTACCTTGATCATTATGGTTGTGAAAATAAAAAGATTCACAACTAGTTTTTCCCATTAGGATCTAGATTTGGATCTAAAAAAAATACATGGGATCCGGATCCAAAATATTCAGATCTAGATCTGAATCCAAACAGTATACAAGGGATTCAGATTAGACCCGATCGGATCCAAAAAATTATTTTTATATATTCTTTTATATATAAAGCAATATAAAATAATACTATATAACATAGGAAACTGGATCGGATCCACCTATATATGAATTCGCTCTGAACTACTCTTTGGATCTAGATCTGACCTGTTGGATCCATATCTTGGATTCATATAGGGGTTCGGGTAAGATTCGAAATTCAGTTTCATATCCAAAATGGGTAAATTTTTAGCTATACTTAATGTGTTCGAGGGAACAAAAGTTACTATTTTCTCTGATCAAATTTACTGTATCCATAGGACCCTGAATTTGGTATGTGGTTTACCTAACCAAGCGCTCAACCTGAAAAAAAAAGCAAGGCAACAACATTCACATCAATACGAAAAAAGTCAAAACCTAGAGCTGCACACAGACCGTCCAACTTTTTTTTTTCTAGGACAGATCTAGGAACTCGAATATTTTCTCTCTTAGTTTTTTTAAGTAATGATTCGGTGTTTACAAAGTGGATCCCAAAATTTCAGATAAATTTTTTTTGTGAAGAAGGATATTTGCCCAACAGAGTTCCAACTTCTAACTATTTCTTTAATTTTCTCTATTTTTTGAATGCTATAAATAGAATATTTCCTTGCCTTCATATCCTCTTCCACTTTACTTGTTCTCGTTTCTATTTGAGATTTTATAATAATATACCTAAAATATTAAATGTTTAATTTTGGCAATTTTTTTTCATATATCCTGTTTTGAAAAACTATTTCTCAAGAGACCCAAATATTCAAAACTTTTCTAGTGGAATAAAGATTCAAACTATTGTATCTTCTAACTCCCTTGACCCAAATAAGTCCATTTGACAACAGATTCTTGATCCAAACATAATGTTAAATGACACATTTTTTTTTATTTGGGTCTCTTTAATTTAAATATCTATTCCTTCAATTTAAATGTTTTTCTATAATGTGTCTTTCTTAAACTTCTCTCTTGCTGGTTTGAGAGAGAGAGAGAAAGAAAGATGTTTAGATAGAAGGGAGAGATATTTAGACAGAAGGGACATAAATAGAAAGAGGTGTGTGTGGTCAAAAGGAGCTTGTTTGGGTTCTAAAAGTTGGAAGATACAATAATTTGAAGTCATATGCCGTCACAAAGATTTTAAAACCTTATCTCTTTTGAAAAATGATTTTTTAAAATAGGGTGTAAGGAGAAATTTTCCCTTTAATTTTTATTCCAACTCATAATCATGTGCCTGTTGATAAAAATTTTGAAATTAAATAAAAAACATTGATAAATGGTAAAGCAATTCCTCTCCAACATATTTTGACAAATTTACCCTTTCTATTCTCCCTTTGCATTAAGACAGGCAAAGCAACAAGGGTCTATTGGAATCTCATTTGATGTGATGTGGTATGAACCAATGTCTAATTCCGCAGTGGACATCGCGGCAACTCAAAGAGCTCAAGATTTCCAATTCGGATGGTAATTAACTTGCCCATATGATATTTGCATTTTTCCCTGAAATTCTTCTGAAAATATATAAAATGAGACCATTTACTTTCGATACAAAGAGGTTACAATTGTCATTGGCCGTTAGATTTGATATTAGATGGTTGAAGATGTGTCACTGTTTGGGCACGAAGTCCAAAATTAAATTTTTCGATTGTTGTGACACACTTTCATCTATTCAATTCCATATTGTGATTGGGACTTCCTTGTGTAAAAATAAAGAATCTCATATTATACAGTCCCATTTATTAAATAATAATTTAGAATATAATTTTAATTTTTGAGAAAGACTGAATGTGGTAATTTATTTTTTAACTATTACTTTCGTTTAAATAAATAAAATAACTCTAAAAGTACAGTAATAAATATATAGGGAGAGAAAGAAGCATAGAAATACAAGTGATTGATTAAGGTACCTTCGTTTGTGAGTTTGTGCACGCACATGCTTATTTACATATGAGAGAGAGAGAGTGAAAAAAGTCATGAGAGAGAGAGATAAAAGTCTTGCGTACCAAAAAAAGAGAGAGATCATGATAAAAAGTAAAATTAAGAACTTATTTAAAACATAGAGAATTGGGCGATTCTTGGGTATTTTGGCCCTGAATCGCTTGGCACTTGATTCGGTCGGTCAAAATCTGGATAGGCTAATATTGGCAAGCGATTTTCTAAATACTGGCTCAAGACTTTAAAAGCTCATGTCAAGACTCGGGCGTGCCACGGTCTTAAGCCGGAGTTAGAGGCCGGCCTGAAGTCCAACCACCATACTTCTCAAAATGAGGTTATGGAGATGTCAGATTCTTCCCGATCCCGATTTAAGGGTTAGTCATCCAGATCTGACACCCTGCTAGGTCCAAGCCTGGCTCACGATTTCTAAAACATCGTTTTCGACAAAAAACAGCATGCCACTTCTATATCTCCTCATTTTTAGGTTGAATCTCTAGCTCTATACGTGCATGTGTGTGTGTATATGTGCTGTGCTGATTTTCACTATAGTGACAACAAATTTCGATGAACAAAATGCAGGTTCATGGACCCTTTGTTTTTCGGGGACTATCCGAGCTCAATGAAAACCCGGGTTGGAAGCCGTTTGCCACAATTCAGCAAAGCCCAATCTGCTCTGATTAAGGGCTCCTTAGACTTTGTGGGCATCAATCACTACACAACTTATTATGCCCAGAAAAGCACCTCTAACATTATTGGTGACCTTCTCAATGATTCCCTATCAGACTCTGGGGCTCTCACCTTACGTAAGTCTCATTTATCTGGATTTCAATTGCTTCGTTAAAATTCAATAAATTGGATTAATTTAGACTGATTTTGATAATTTTAATTTGGATTTATTTTGGAAATTATGATTTTTTTTTTTTGCAAAATTATGAATGGGTTTAAAGGTCATATGTAAAATTTGATCGGAGCGTACTTTACGAGGCTGTGGTCGTATGAGGCAACACCTGAAATAACCATTTTGAAGATGGATTGAGGACCCAAAGCACCTTTTGGTGACTTGTAGATCCATTTATGCCCTAACTATGGAAATTAAGGCTCAAAAAATGGTGCAGATCTAATGTGTATGTATAAAGACTTAAAATTGATGGTCCAATACAAACTACTTTTTAGGGCTTAAAATTCATTTTTACCAGATCCATGATCATAGAAGTGGAGTTGTGGACATGACGGATTTCCGGTGCTTTTACCCCTAAATTTTAGTTGTTGTCGCAGACAACCTCAGCCACACCAAAGCCTCATCAAATTTGATGGCTTTAGCAATTTCAATTTTTAGTTCCAATAATCCTTGGGGCAGTGGCATTACTGTTGTTATTTTCCCTTTAAATCTTTCGAACTTCTTCGTTTTTGGCTTATGTTTTATGTGTATCTGTTACTCACTATTTCCTTTGATGCATTTACAGCTTTTAGAAATGGTAAACCCATTGGAGACAAGGTATGATTCCAGCTCAAACCTCGTTACTTCAATGAATATTATTCATTACATAAAATAATTGGTAATGTAAAAATATTATATGCTTCCATGATTGAAGAGCAAAATGTGAGAGCGAAATCAAAACCCTAGCTAGTACTTTGAAGACCCCAAATTTGGTGATATGACTTGCCTAACTTGGCTACTAACCTTAAAAAAAAGAAAAAAAAATGTTCGATAAGCACCTTAGAACCGCATGAAAAGAATCGCACTGTCGATTGCAAAGAAATTGTTTAAATGGTTGGATCATAATGATTAGTACTTAAAAACTAGTATGGTTATTTAAGGGAAAGTAGATCATTTATCTTTGATATAAGGTGGTCACAGTTAATTTTGACCATTGGATGTGAACTTGGTTGACTGCATTTATTTCATTGACCATGTTGAAAGTTCAAAAGAATTTTTTTGAACTTTGTCACAAACCTAAGCTATCAAATTTCACATCGAATGGATATAAATAATTGTGACATCTCTTTACCAAAAAGTAAATGGTCTCATTGTATACAAGAGCTTAAGGTCATTTACCTTGGAAAGCATATGTAAATTCTACTCTCAAAAGGAACAAAATGTGCATTTGCTCCCTTAGACCAAGCCTTTCATATTATTATTGCTACTCCTATTCGTCCTTTGGATGATGATGATGATGATGATGACGACGGTAATAATAATGAAGCTAATAGTGATAATAGAAAAGGGGACGTACTTGATGCGTTAGGGGACAATTGTTGATTTGCGTCCCCGATGATCAAATGTCCATTGGGGTCCATTTGCAACAAAAATGGCACTCCGTCGAAAGTTAAAATGAATGGTGCAAAATAATTTTTTAAAAAATGCCATTTTGAGATGTCAAATTTTTTGGTTAGATTTGTGATTATCATGATTGAGATTAATGACATCTAAGAACTCGGATAAAAAGTCGATCTCTAAGATAGATTTTGGAGCAGGGATGCATCTATGGATGTGTCGGCTGACTCGTTAGATTAGACAAACACCCTGCTAATTGTTGACATTATTATTGTGATTTTGGAGAAATAGTCATACTCTAATTTGAGGGTATTTGATATGGATTTGCAGGCATCATCCATATGGTTGTATATCGTGCCTCATGGAATTAGAAGCTTAATGAATTATATAAAGCAAAAGTATGGGAATCCAGTGGTCATTATCACAGAAAATGGTAATTATCCTCTCATTATTTCTCTCAATTATATTAGAGTCTTTACTTTTTCTAAAGTTCATATGATTTGGGTCTTGATGGTTTGGATGGTTGTGTACTTGGCAAATAAGTCCCTTTTTTGGCCTTCTTGCTTGTTTTGGATTATTGAGAATGAGCTTTCCCCCATTATTTTTTCTTTTTTTTGTGTTTTGTTTTGGGTGAGAATAAGGAATGGTTGATATTGGTCCATTATAGTCCATGCTATGTGATTCAGGCATGATTTGTTAAATGATTGTGTACTATCTATTAAGTAAAAGGAGTTAGTTATTGTGGGTGATTGATAAATTCCTTCAAAGTTCTAATAAGCACATAAGTAAAACATTTAAATCATTAGCCCTCAAATAATAAGAGGTTAAATTTACACCATTGTGACTGTCATAATGATTTGTTTTGTGTATGTTTCTATGTCCAAGGATATGGATATAAGTGTCAATGCAAGTTAGAAATGGCAACTTTAAAGTTGATTTTCAGATAAGATACGTATGTACATCATTTAACAGAAGTAGGAGGTAGAATTCTAGGATACATTAAAATTTTTCACCATAAACCTTAAATAAACATTTTAAATATAAATTTTTCATGTTTTTTAAAGTGTCAAACACGAGTTTCTGTCATTTATGACTCGGCACATGCTCAAAACATTAGATATATGTGTTCCAGTTGCATAGCTCCATTCAAATTAACAAGTAGGCCATGAACACTGTCATTTTAAAATGCAAAAAGTATACACTCATATTTAGTAAAAGGTAGTCATAATTAATCTTGATCAGTAAAATGTGAAATTGGGTGGCTACATGTATTGCATTGACCAAGCTCAAAATTCAAAATAATTTTCTTCAAACTTTGTAACACACCTAGGCTATCATATTTCACAACGGATGGTTATAAGTAATTGTCTCCTCTTTGTACCAAAAGTAAATAGTCTCATTTTTATACAATCCCTTTAAAATATATATTACTATTTTTATCTTTTGTGTTTATAGGGATGGATGATCCAAACAACTCCCTAATTCCCATCAAGGACGCGTTGAAGGATGAGAAGAGGATCAAATACCATAATGACTACCTCACAAATTTGTTGGCTTCCATAAGGTAGGTTTTATTGAATTGTGAAATTACATTATTTCTCAATTTGAATTGCAAAATTGCATACTTTTCCCCTTTAGTTTAGGATGAACGAGGGCTAAATAAGGGTGGTAATGGACCCGACCAGATTTAGGACCTGATGGGTAAACCCGACCTCAGGTTCGGGTATAGGTTCAAATTTTAGACCCGAAAGGTTGGGTCCTGGTCCAAATCCAAGACAAGAATACTATTCGAGTTTGGGTCCCACCCGACCCAAACCCGACCTATTACCATCCCTAGGGCTAAAAATTTGGCCATTATAAATTTCAGAATCACCCTTGTCACGAGTAATCAATGTGTACTTTGGCCAATTTTCTATTGGGAAAGGTTTCTATACTTCCCTTAAAACATAGAAGATTTATGCTTTTCCTACCATCCAGCAGTCCAATTTTGATCAAGAGAGCCACTCACCGTTTGATCTTAGATCCGACGTCTCAAAGTATTTATTTTTAGTTTTTTATACAAATTGTATGAATATGAAATTTGAGATGTGCCATCTTCTCATTGGGGCGCACCTATAAAAAATATTAAAAATAATTTTTCAATAAAATATAATGACCAAAATAACCCTTGAAATTTTCAAGGGTATTTTGGTCATTTATTTTATTGAAAATATGTTTTTTATATTTTTTTGCTAGTATGAGTTTAATAAAGGATTGGGCGTCCAAAATTTGATGTCAAAATAGTTTATAGATAAAAAATTAAAAATAAAATAGTGTAAAAACCTGACATTGTGATTGAGATTGCCCTCCATTCAAAATGGACGGTTGGATAAGGGGAAGCATATAAGTTTTATATTGTCGAGAAAGCATGGAAAACTTGCCCTTTTCTATTCGTTAAACCATGAAGTCATTATATGAGTTGCATAATGCTAGAAAAATATGGCAATCATTTTAAATTTTAAATTGCATTTTACAAAATGTTAAGACATTTACAAGGCTGCAAGGTCCACCGAATACTTTTTGTAGTCTCAAACTTTTAAATTGTTATCATTTAAATCTAATATGTTTTTCCCACTCAAATTTAAATGTCATGGCTTTTGTTGGCCCCCGTTCCTAATTTGGAAAAGTAGTGTGTGCATCAGCGACGCACTTCTACAATAGCATCCCCTGAGGCATGTAACATTGATCATGGAGACAGATGTTCGAAAATGATAGCTCCAAGTTTGAAATCCATAGCGTTAAAATTATGTCAAAAAAAATATTTTTGTGTTTTTAATTTTCTTTTTCTAAAGGACTATTTATCATTGCTGAGATTCTACATTCCTCAAAATTTTGAATCTAAAATCTATCTCTAAAATAGATTTTAGATGGAGGACTCATTTGAATAGGTGACTCCGCTGACTCATAAAAACCTTGTCCTTTTAAGTTTGGAAAAAGTTTGTATAAGTGTGACGCTCTAAACAACCAAATTAGGGCGCATCTCAAAAATTTCACTATTGATGTCCAAATATTATGTATGGATATGACAAAAAAAAAAAAAAGATTTCAAGTTTTGAAAATAGTGCATCTTGAAATGCATTTTTTGAAAGATTTTCAAGTTTTCATAGATATACTCGATTTACATTATTTTTGAAGCTATAAATTTTATAATTAGAGATGAAAATATGTTTTAAAGCTATCATTAAGATTTCTAGTTTTGAAAACACATTTCTCGACACTATTTAAAAGTGCACTTTACTTTGATTGTTTAGAGCCTCGGCTCTATACAATCCACAGCCTTTAATTTTTGTGTAGAACATGGAAATTGCTTTCCAATATACTTCGAAATTCCATAAGCTTTCAAAATTTGGCAATTCGAATTTTGCAGGGAGGATGGATGCAACGTGAAGGGATATTTTGTGTGGTCTCTCTTGGACAATTGGGAATGGGCGGCTGGATTTACTTCGAGATTCGGCCTCTACTTCATAGATTATAATGACAAGCTCAAGCGATATCCAAAGGACTCTGTCCAATGGTTCAAAAACCTTTTTAAAATGAGAATGCAATTATGTTTATCTAGAAAAAGTATATAATAAAACCGTTTATTTTTGGTACAAAAAGGTTATAATCGCCTCTAACACTCATATATGAAATCAAGCAACTTAGGGTATACTATTGACTCGTGCTCAAATCCGAGGAAATATTACTTAAATTTTTTGTTGACAAATAACACAATCTAGTAAACCAAATTCCCAGATGATGGCTAGAGGTACTTGTGACTTCTGCGATATGAAAAGTATCAGTCACGTCGTATACAATCTCTCTTTCTATATGATTATTTTGATGTATCCCGTCTTTATTTGTGCATTCTTATTTCAATGTTTTTGAAGATCCATTGTCTTATGACCAATCCGAGTTTCTATATATTGAATTTTATCCAAAAGATTAATGGTTAATAAGAATAGGGAAAATTGCAGATACTCCCAACTTAGACTTTCAAGACAACCTCTCCCCAACCAACATTTTTATCGTAACTTTTAACCCAAAAACATACTTTCTGGCAAATACCCCTTAGTCAATAAGTCATATTTTTTTGGATCCAAATACCCTTATCTGTACAAGCTCGCGTCACATCACAGTTGGATGTGTAATGACCAAAGGTTAACTGTCGAACAGCATTAAAAACCTATCGGACCGGTACAATAAAACCACTGCTGGACTACATGAAAAATATGCTGGACCAATGTAAAAGAGTGCTGGACATATGTCACCTTGTGCCGGACCGAGCTAAAATCACAGTCGGCCATTGAATATTTGTAGGATTGAGGGCACCTTGTGCCTAACCACGAGCACACTATGCCGACAAAGAGTACAATGTCGGACCGACAGTTGGAAGTGTCAGACCAACAGTTGGAAGTGTCGAACCGAGTGCACCTCATGACGAGGATGTGATATGAGCTTGTACGGATAAGGGAATTTTGGCCTAAGCAAATATGATTTTTTGACTGGAGGGGTATTCGTTAAAAAAAATGTTTTGGAGCAAAAGTTGAAAAAAAAAGGGGAAGTTATCTACAAAGTCTAAGTTAGGTGGTCTGCAAGAGTCTTCATTGGGCACCATCAATGTTTCTCTTCATAGGAAGCTCTATTCTCTAAGAGGTAATTACATTTTATGTACATGAGGCTTTGCCTCCCTATCTCTATAGAAGAACAACCATTCCCATATTGTGACCCAAATAGGACACACAAATTCTCTACATTTTCATCCCATATATATAAGGTTAGGAATCCGTACTAAATAATAAACTTTCTATAGATCTTACATATATCTTAAAAGACTAAGAGATACATCCAAGAGTCCTAATCCTTTTTGGATTTCTATTTCTCTTAGAAAACTTATCAATATCAATCTCAATCCCACATAATATGGGTATATCTCAATCCCACATTATATGGATCAATCTCAATCAATCCCACAAAATATAAGATTTCGTTATGTGGGTGATTTTGGATAGCACTAAATCCAACAATCTCCACCTTGATATCAAAATCACCTGCCCCCCATGCCAACATCCATTGGATAGCTTCATAAATTATTAATCTTTTGCCAAATAAAATTCTTCATCATTCTTGCTGAAAAATAGTGTTTCCATCAAATATTTCCACCTCGAACCTTACATTCGAAACCTTTATTGCCTTACTCAAAACCCCAAACCAGGGCTCTGATACCACTTGTAGTGCTCTAATACTACTTGTTGCGTGCAGAAGCTCTAAACCCGACGGGTTGATTTTTGGTAAATAAAATACAAGAAAAAAAAATTGACAACAACAAGCAACAAAAATACAGCAGGAAATAAATAATAAAAAAAAAAACATCATAAAAGTAAAGTGCACCTCTAAATTTCACCCAAAGATGTAGTTTCAGTGTTAGAATATGTTAGGATGACTTGAAAATCTATGCTCAACCTGATTATAAAATCTAAAATTTCAAGAACCCTGTAGATCGAGCAGATATATAAACACTTGAAAATCTTGAAGATAAACGGTTTAGATAAATTATTATGAAATGTATTATTTTTAAGACTCAAAATTCCCAAATTTGTAATATTTGTGCGTCTCAAGGTCGAAATATTCATTTAGAAAGTTTTCCAACTTCATAACACTCCTTTCTACAGTATTTTTTAGGTGTACCTTACTTTTGTAGGATAAGGTTGCAACGTCATGTAAACTTCTTCCATATTTACAAGCTTGTTGTATAATTAAAGATGGAGGCTAATGTTCTCATGAAGAGAATATTTGGAATATGTTTTAACAACTTTTATTTTATCAAATATACTTTCCTCCCTCCAATTGGCCTAAACACGGAGGCGCTTTGCTTTCTTGGCTACAAATGAAGAGGCCTCTGAAGTGAATCAGACAACATTAGTCACTAGAATCTAGAGGTTACTTCCTCAAAATTTAGAGTTTTAATACTCCTACACTAGAATCTAGAGGTTACTTCCTCAAAATTTAGAGTTTTAATACTCCTAGCTTGGCTTCTGCCCAAGAGAGTTGGAAGGTATGCTCCTACGAGAACAGAGACCATTTGAAAAAAAAAAAATCGGAATTTTTGTCAATTTCATAAATTTGGGATTCACCTAAAAAATCACAAGATTATGCTTTGAAAAAAAAATAATCGAAATTTGCACTCCTGCAACCTCAAGAAAAAAAAAAGGGAAAAAAAAAAAAAAATCAGATCTCACACTCTATAGTCCCAAAAACAATAATGTCTCAAGATTGAACATAGGCCATCTAATTTTTTGCAGGCAAGACCTAAGTGCTAAAGTACTCAAGATTTGGTTTTCATATTTTGAAATGAGTAATGATCCTATGAGACCCTCCCACACTCATTTGTGTAAGACCTCAAAGGATCACTATTAAATTTGGTATAGATTTCTAGAAAAGTTATCATATGGGTATGGGACTTGACTTTTCTAGTGATCGGTGCCAAATTTAATGGTGATCCCTTGGGGTCCTACACACATGGATGTGAGAGGGTCTCACAATCATTTCCCTTTTGAAATAATTATCTAGTGATTCTTAAGTGGCCCATAAGATCTCCCGAATAAACGTTTTCACCAACGGGAGTACACAATGTGCTCCCACGCAGGCCTATAGTATCAGTGAAAATTATCCTTGATAATATGAAAGTACTGGATTTTTCTCATGATAATTTAGGAAGGCGATATTATGCATGGAATGATCTTGATGCCAAGAAATTATCATGATAATTAATAGCTTGTCGATAATATCCCACTAATTAATCTTCTGAATAATATCGGGTTTAATTTAAATTGTGAACTTGCACAAAAAATGGATCAACGAATGTAAAATGACTAATAACTAATGGGAAAAGTTTATATAGTGCGGAGGCTCTAACCAATCAAATTAAAGCCTACCTCAAAAATTTCACTAAAAGAGGGTTTTGATGCTCAAATATTCTCAAATTGATCATCTAGACATCAAGATGCATGGACATGAGAAAAAAAATGGATTTCAAGTTTTGAAAATAGTACATCTTGTAATGTATTTTTGGACTATCAATTTTCAAGATTTTCAAGTTTTCACAGATCTGCTCGATCTATATTATTTTTGAAGCTTTAAATTTTATAATTAAAGATAAAAATATATTTTATAGCTATCACAAAGATTTCCAATATTGAAATCATATTTCTTAACTCTATTTGAAGGTGTGATTTACTTTTATTGTTTAGAGCCTCGGTTCTATACAAACCGCACCCATAACTAATTGCTAGTTGCTATGTAAAAAGGATTACATGGGCGTTTTGTTTTTTGTTTTGTTTTTGGTTTTGTAATAAGCGTGAAGTAGAAGGATTATTTTAAAGGGAAAATATCATTAAAGGAGATGCAGCCCATTACAATATTAGTAAAGGAGTTAAATTATCTCTATTAATATTTGATGGCATTAATTTTTACTTTCCATTCTATTAAATACCACCTAAAAAAATTAAAATATCCAACTTACCCTTGTATGGTATATGAAATGCATAATAATCAGACATTTTTGTAATTTAGCTCTAAGAGGTTTCAACAAAATGATGGCATTAATTTGTTATTTTTCATTCAATTAAATACCACCTAAAAAAATTAAAATATCCAACTTACCCTTGTATGGTATATGAAATGCATAATAATCATAGACATTTTTGTTATTTGGCCTTAAGAGGTTTCAACAAAGTGATGAAAATACCTATAGTAGTTTTATCTTACAAATAAATAACACATTGTTCAATATTATAAAGAAAATTGTTTCATGAGGGCCAGACCGCATTTCTACATATGCAGTCTAGAAAGTGTGAAGCATCCAATTTAAAGATGGATGCAAGTAGGTGTTCTATCTAAAAACAATGAAAACTAACAGTTCAAATGTTTCTTACTAGAATTGTTATTTCTAGTTTTTTAAATTTATTTATTGTTTTCATATCCATGATCTCCATGTTGGAGATTTCATGTCCTTAAAAATTAAGTCCTAAAATCTCAAAAATAGATTTATTAAGAAGTATGCATTTTTACATGCGCGTGTTTGGATGCATAGAAGCCGAGTCCATATTATAATACAAAACAACTAGGCATACTTTTGTCATTTTACACTTAAATACTTTGTATGTATTAAATTGTGAAAATATCCTTTGTTGATATGCATTAGGAATACTGAGTAGTATGTTTCTTATTTCTGATACAAAGGAATCGAGGGTATTTTCATCGTTTTGAGTGAGGCCTATTTGGGGGGTCATATTATTAAAATTCTCCTCAGTGGGTTACTTGGGGATTTTTAAATTTTTAGGAGAAGGTATCTAAGTGAAATAAAAATAAAATAGCATGCCGTCAAATGTTAATAGGAATAATTTGAAACTCTTTAATAATTTTTAAGGGGCTTCATCTCCTTTGCTAATATTTTTCCATGGTAAAAAGAGTTTCCTTTCACACGAAAGATCTCATGCTCTAGAGGGAGCATATTGTCATTTTAATACTGATTGTAGGACCCCAAAATTTGAGGATATAACCTCTTCAACCCATAAGCTAAACTTAATTATAAAAAATAGAAATTTAGGGTTGGTGGGTTTTGAGCGCGTTAGGAAATTTTTCTATATAAAGAGGAATTTGTTGAAAATTTACTTTTTCTAATGGTGAACATGAAATATAGCTTTTAAAATA